CTTTAGAAGCATTCTTCATATGGGCTTTCCGAGAAATTGTGCAATTGGATTATCAGTTTTCTTCCAGATCGGAGCATCAAGGTCGTAGTAGCCGACTATCAGTTTAACGTTTCACAACGCTGAGTGCTATCAATATTTTCGCTTTTTCCAAGGGGAGACTTATACAAATTGTTCGGATTAATTCCAGCCGGAAAAATTCCACCAACGCACTTTGGGACAAAACTCACGGTACCATCCACACCAACTGCATAATGAATATGAACGACAGCCCGAGGCTAACTATGAAGTTAGTCTAGGGCTGTCGGAACTCTAAATCAGGCACAGGGCTGTAATGACGATGATGATGATAATGTATCTATATATACACAATTTTTTATACATCTATAAATTCAAAAATATGCTCACATATAAATATAATTGAAGTGTCTGTCTGTAATATCGAAATAACTGGCTTCTATTAGGATTCGGGGTATTTTTCATGCTATTAAGAGTTAAGACTTGACTAAACACAATATAAATTTTTTTATCTGTCTTTGTGTCCGGGCTCCGGGCTAATCTCCGGAATAGCTGATCTCATTGTGATGTAAGTTCATGCGCGGTAACAAAAAAAAATGCAAACTTTTTATATTTTCCAGCCAAACTTTCATTTCCCTATTGGTCTAGTAGTTTAGTGAAGTTCCAAAAGTCCCTCGATCATATAATATGTGCTATCACATCTGATCGGGACCTCTTGTACAATTTAGCTAATTTCTGGGATGCTTTATATAATTCGTTATATGCTATATTACTGTATATGAACCATGTCACAATGTTGCATAGAATTTTGTGCTACCAAATTCAAAGCGTGTGCAAAACAAATGTGGTATGTGTGTTTTCTTTTCCAAAAGCTATATCGAGGGCAATTACCACATTGGCTGCGTTGTCTGTCACTACAGCCGAAACTTAATTATGTCATCATACCGTTCAGTACAAGTATCCAGCAGTATTTGAGCGATGTGTTCCGAAGTATGATGTTCGTTTGACTGGTACACTCCAAAAATAATTGAAAATACAACATTATCGACGTCAAAGTTTGCTGTTGTTCCTAAAAAACTACTCATGCTCATTATTTTAGACCACACGGCAGTAGTAAGAGTAAAGTTTTCAATATTTGACAACTTTTCTTTGAAGGCTATGGATAATGCTGCGTTTTTATCAACAACCCATCGAGTAAACATCATCTTATTGCGAAGTTTATAATGCTACAAAATAACTTAAATCAAATTGCGAAAGCCTTCATTTTCAACAATTGTAAATGCTCTTTACATATCATATTAATTATGGATTTATTTAAATTTAAAGTTTTCGCCACTCGCCGAATAAATAAAAAATTTACGTATTTTATCGCATCTACCACGGGGAGTGCTCTGAGGAATTGTTCGGACTAATTCCAGCCGTTCAATTTCACCATCGCACATCGCGACAAAACTCGTGATACTATCGATATCATCTGGATAATTGGCGGTCCACCACTGTGCGATTTAGAAGAAGTTTTCTCCCTCGCATAACTTCCTTGTGGAATTGATTACCACCAGCGATAGATACGACTTAGGGACCATCAAGAAAAGAGTCTACTCCTTTTTAAAAGGCCGGCAACGCATCTGCAATTCCCCTGGTTCCCCTGGTGTTGCAGTTGTTCATGGGCGGCGGTAGTCACTTACCATCAGGGGAGCCGTATACTCATTTGCCCCCACTGCTATAAAAATAAGTGGATTACAAATCGCATTAGATGTTTCGCACTCTTGACGGTGCTTCACGACATCAATCCTACGTATTTTATGTCTGCTTAAACTGGATTGTTATATCATCACCACTCGCTAGCCGTAAAATATATCATATAAAAAAATTCTTCAAAACTTGACATAACAAGCTTTTGATATTTGGAGCTGGAGGAGCAGGAACATATTCATCGTCTTTTGAAGAGTCAGATTTTAACAGCTTCTGTAGTCAATCCTATTACATCAGCAGACCTTGTTGACGGTAGCAAATCAGCTCAGGTTGTTGACGGTGGCAAATCATATTTCGGCAAGTGTTTCGTTGCAGCGCGATGAGCTCTAAGTTTGAATGTCAAAATTTGTGTGGTCAAGTATTTCGACAAAGCCTTGTGGTGAAGACGTTGAAGAATCCCATGTCGTCTCATTGATGTCGTAAGAGGAGACTATGGGAAAAGCCAGAAAGATCTTATGGTCTCTGATAGATAGCGGTATAACCATCTTAAATATAAATAGGAAATAAAATATTAAGACCGGCGACGTCGTTGTGAGACCTGTGGTACTCTAAACTTCCTTCTTTGGATTCCAACATCGATGCTGGTTGATTTGTCAGGGCTCGACCCGATTCTTAGTCGTCTCGGTCGTCTTATGTCCGGTAGAGACTTATGTTCGGTAGTGGATTGATAAATAATGGCTGATAAAGATTTATCTATACGTTCCGGTTCTGGGTGTATAACTCTCTGGATGTGGAACATTGAACAAGAGGCCTTGCAATAATCCTATATGCCAATTTATAAAGGGAGCGCACTGTTATTCTGTTGGTTTTAAAATTAAATAATGCCTATATTTCATTATTTTTAAATATTGTAATAATGACAACATAAATGTTTAGGCAATTTTTTGTTGTAACTTTCTGTATGTGTATCCATTTCCTTCTCCAACATTAATCTAACACCCTCCTAAAGAGCGTAATATAGAAATTAATTAAACGTTCTCTATCGTTGTACATTGTCGCAAGGAAAACGTTTCAATGCCAAGATATTTCAATAAATTCTATATTACAAAAGTATCATATATACTTAATACCTATACTAAATAATTTATTTATTTATTTATATAATTTGCATGCCACAAGAAATACATCATAAATCAAGTGACGCCCCGTAGGGGCATAGCAATTTATAATGTATATTTAATTTTTATATCAATCTAAAAGAAAACATAAATAAAAATTTGTAAATATTTTTAGTGTTACTTGTAAAGCATGCATAAAATGGACAAATAAACGGACACGTAAACAAAAAATAATTCAAATCTTACTTAACTGCCTAATAACCGCATTCTCCAAGTTAAAATTTTTGACTTTTTTTATAATTACTCCTACACGTTGGGTATTATTCTATAATAACATGTATTTGATTTAAATTCAGGTTATGCTATATATGCTTGCAAAAGTGTATAAATTATTCAAAACGAGCATTAGATAAGTCAAATGTGCCAAGGACGGGGCACCGACGGTCAAACTCGTTAGCAAAGAAATATTTGTGTGGTCACTGGATAAAATGACATCGGAGTTATATATTATTTATGTCTAGCTTAATATAGACTAATGTATCTAACTTAATATTAATAAAATCGATGCCATTAGACCATAACCTATTTTTTCATACCTCAAACAGTATTATAGATTTATTCTTTTTTTTAGCAACTTACATACATGCAACAGACATATATACTGTAATGTAGCCGATGGTTTGTTTATAAAATGTGTATATATATTTATATATAAAAATTACGTGTCACATAGTTTGTCCGCGATGAGCTCCTAAACTACTAAACTGATTTCAATGAAATTTTGCACTATGTGTGCAGTTTGGTCCAACTTGAGAGATATGATAGTTTTTATCCCGTTAAGTGCACATCATTATTTTTTTTATTGCGCATTTAAAGCTTTTCCTATTAGACAAGTACATACACACACACACACACATATATATATATATATATATATATATATATTATATATATATATATATATATATAACGGCCAAATTATAGAAGTTATCTATACAATGCTAAATATTGATTTATGGGACAAATGAGATATGAAAAATATAATTTTCAATGACGAACAAAGGCTTAGTAGAGGTTTAACTGTAACAATATAAAGGAACGATAATGTACCTGAAAAATACTCAATATATCTCTACTCTTCCAATTATCACAACCACTAAAAATCATTTAGAAAAATCAGAAAAAATTATAAACATTGAGCCATACAATAAAGGTCAATATTATATATTATGTCGGCATGAAATTATCAAGTCTCTTCAAACAATTATTTATTGAGCACTTTGTTTGTTTCAGTTATATGTAGCGGATTATAATCGGAAAACAAGTGAAAAAATTATATTCGTTAATTTAGAAAGAGGTTGGCACTGAGTACTGAGTATGTACATAGGTACGCTGTTACGAGTAGCCTGTCAATACGAATGATATTGTTATAAATATATTACGTAATATGATTATTCTAAATGTAATGCGAATTTATGTATGTAAACTTTTACTTTTACTGATCTAAAAATAATCCTTAAATATATTTAAGAAATTAGTGTCAAATTTTCAATAACACTACATTATTGGTATTTTAATAATATATATGTGATAATATATATTTTATAATACCTATGTTTATGTTTACATAGAATAGTCGGCTTACGTATCATACAAAAAATGTATGCATGTAAAATGCTTCTACGATACACGAGGAAATCCAAGTGAAATATTTTTAAGAGTAAAAAAAATTGATTTCTAAGATAAATAACTTCTTAATTATATGAATATTATATATGAACTACATTTAATGTACAATATACTCTTAGTAGAGTTTAATATTAATAAGTGTTGCACAACCTTAAGTTGCATCATTATGCGGAGTGAGAGTTTACTTCACGTCCTCGGTTTGCCAATTTACTTCCGAATTGGAGCCCTGTTAATGTGCCGACGCGACGGAGGCTCGAGGTCTGTCTGTTGCACTCCGCTGTTGCCATAAACGGTGGAATGGATAGGTTGTAGCCAGTCGCCACTTAATGTTCGACTCGCGTGGTCGTGGCGTGCCACGTTCCAATGATACAAAATCTTGTAAACAAATCGGCCTGTTACTTTAAAATGTCGTAAGTGATTGCGCGGTTGAGTTACTTAGCAATAGAGTATATTTCAACAGTAAAAAGTGCGACAAATTTTTCAAATATGGAGAAGGATATTGTGGATCCACAAAGTACAGTGATTCAAAAGCCTAACTACATGCTTATGTCCTTGCAGAGGATACTTGTGTTGTTTGTTATATTGGCCGGTGTAATCGTTGTTGTATATTACACACCTATGCCAGGTAAGGACTTTGCTTTAATTTTTATCCCTAACTGATTGTATTTTTTAATAGATTTCCTCTTACAATGCTTGGATTGTTGATTGAACAGAAGATATTTGATCTTATTATAGTAAATATAACAGTCTAAGAGTAAATTAGAATAGTAATAAAATGGTTAAACAAGTTTCTTAAAAATGCAGAAATATTTCTTTTCTTTTTACCCTACTACGGCGAAGATGAAGGAGGGTTATGATTTTTTTTGTTTACATTCATACGGTGTCATAATGTTTTGTTTGATATGATTGTATTTCTAAGTCAGTCAAGTGAAATAGTGACAAGTGGATGTGGATTTAGATGATTTAGAATGTATTATTTTTTCTTCCTTCCGGTCTGCCTCTTTAATCTATCCTCATACACAACGTCACGTTGAGCAGGCCTTTGATGAGGACAGGGTGGATACTCTTGGTACCGATGTTCTCCATCACCAGCCTGTTGGATATGAGTTCAGTATTTTTTTCTAAAGTAAGCTCTACCCTAGGAATTTCTCCTCTATCATGGACAAACAACCAGACCCGGAATAATTGCTTGTAAGTAATACTTGTTCCGTGCGGGATTTGAATCAGCTTACTCGTCCGCGCTCAGCACCGGAACTTATTGCTAAGCCTTTGCGCCACATAGCCGTATATTTTCCAAATATATGTACCGCTATTTATTAATCACCTGAGGCTCGTTTTTATATAATATGGATGACAAATGAACACAGAGTTCACCTCAATAAAAAATCAAAATCTAGATGTGTTGACACCCTTGAAGAGAAGAATGCCTCATCGCCAGTAAAAGGGTCTCTGGTTCAATACAATCGCCAAACCAAACGCAGCAGCATAAGCTACTAATTCACGCTGGTATTCTGTGAGAGCCTGGTCCTACCCAGGTCAATCCGATCTGTTCATGCTACAAATATAATATAGCGTAGTTCGTTACCGTTAAAAATCATATTAAGGCTGAAGCACGCACAGAATATCACCGTGAAATAGGAATATAACATTGCTATGTATATAGAATAGTGTGTGACGAAAACTGGAAACTATTTTTACTGGTGACGAGCAATTCCAGCTTAGTTCTTAGAGTAGATAGTTCACGTTCATTTTAATTCTTAATCATGAATTGTTGTAGGTGTTTTTAAATCAGCGAATCAAAAATAATTAGGTGGACTATGTGTTCATTTTTCAATTTTATTTCTTTAAAAAAATAAGCCTTAATGATCTTATTACTTTCAGAGGAATATTTTGAAAATTGTGATCGTGAATGCCATGAATTGGATTGGCCCATGATTTGTCGTGTGAAACTAGTCATAGAAGTATATAAAACTTATAGCAAGTAAGTATGAACACTCCATAATTCTACCTCAGTTTTATTTACATTTAAATTAATATGATTAAATTATTAATTTCCTACAGGTCATGTAATAATTGTGCAGAAGCGCACGATAGTGAATGTCCATCAACGTGTATAACAGCAGATGGTCGAGAACGCGGCGTTCTGGCTGCTAACAGGGAGTTACCTGCGCCGTCTCTGCATGTATGTCAGAATGACATCTTAGTAGTGGACGTTGTACATCGAGCACCCGCTCACACGCTGTCGATACACTGGCGAGGACAGCCCCAAAAAGAAACTCCGTTTATGGATGGAGCGCCGATGTTGACCCAATGTCCGCAGCCTGCTTATACAACATTCCAGTACAAGTTCCGTGCTGCAGCAGTTGGTACTCATATGTATCATGCGCATTCTGCAGCAGATGCAGCCGACGGTCTTGCGGGAGCGTTAATTGTTCGACAATCTCCTAGGCTTGATCCTCTGAGAAAACTATATGACATCGACGCTACTGAACACACTATTTTTGTAGCAGAATGGGGTCATTCAATGGGACCACTCGCTGGAATGACATCTAATGTGCCAGATGCGGAGTCATTACTTATAAATGGAAAGGGTCGGTCTTCTGAATTTTCAGATGCCCCGCTAGCAAAATTCGTGGTTGAATATGGAAAAAGATATAGATTCCGCCTTCTATATGGTGGAGGGTTTAAAAGTTGTCCTGTTAAATTTTCAGTGGATGAACATGTTCTGAAAATCGTAGCTTTAGATGGATTTGGAATCCAAGCTGAAAATGTAAATACAATTACATTCGCCAGAGGAGAACGTGTTGATTTTATCCTAGAAGCTAATAGAGAGATTGGAGTTTACAAGATTAAGGTTATTGCTGAGAAATCTTGTCAAAACAATCTAGAAGGAGTAGCCGAATTAATGTACAAAAATTCTGATGCTCTGCTTAAAACTTTTGAACACGTTAACTCAGCAGTGAACCGTGAATTTACAACAGTGAACAGTGACAAGTGCCGTGATGACAATGTGTTGTGTTTAGATGAGGTACATTCAGCTGATAAACTTCCGTTAAATCTTGCGGCAGCTATTGACGAAGTCATTTATGTGCCGTTCAACTATTCTACCAAACAGATTTCAACACGACGCGTCGGTAAGTAGATATTTTATTACAAATTATACTCTAAGAAAAACCCATTAGTCTCTTATTGTTGTTTTTAAAAGATGTTCTTTTGTTCACGGTTTTCAAAGTTAGAGGCTAGACTAACGGTATAGGTGAAAATGAATTAGCCAAATGATATTTTTTTAAATGATATAATATACACTAAACTTACGTTTGTATTTATTATTTTATAATTATTTCAAAACTTCATAACTAATATTTTCATAGGAAATTACTATAACGGTAAATATTAAAATATAAAATGTTTATTAATTTTATAAAGAAACTAAAACTTAAAACTTATACTATCATACAGTTCTACTCCCCGCGGTATAGTGCCAAGAACGCTGGCTGCTTTTCCTCGTTGAATGGCTGCAACAACAAATGGCACAAATATGTAGTCATCTCTCAGAGACTCATACTTGCGCCACTTACTCAGTTTAGCCGTCTCTGATGCCGACCCGGCTTTAAACATGGTACTGAGATAAGAGGTTGCCAAAGTGCCTACGCACGTAGCATCTCACACTAGGGCTTTGCCTATGTCACAAGGGACCAAAGTCGAAGTCTTGCGGATATTTTAGTTTTTCTGTGAATGTAAAAGAAAGTGTAATAGAATAAGTGAGAAGAAAGTGTAATGTAATTTCTTTATTGCAGTAGATTATCTAGTAATATAGGAAAAAAATTAAAATGAGTGTTTTATATCACGATCATACGCAAACAGATTAAGGAATGAGTTTGTTCTCGTGAATAATTTAGGTTTTACTGAAACCTTAGAGTATTAAACTAGTTGAATGTTAGTTGAATACTCTAAGACTGAAACAGATATAAAAAGGAATAATTTTGTATAAGAAAGTGGTATAAGTCGGAGGCTGATCATTAATATCTATCTATTTTGTATAATGGTATATCATCGAGCTGTTAAATTCTATTACTAAAAATTATTGTGCGTTATATTTTCAATAGTATATATTAGTAAAGCTACTATATACTATTTTATTTTATATTTATTGTAATATATTACGACATAATATTAACATGTATTTGCTCTGCTCACTTTTATTACGCGGTAGAGTCATGCTGCAGTTATACTATGGTTGTAACACGAATGGATCGGCTCGACCGGGCACGCTCTCATAGAATACCAGCGTAAAATAGGAGCTCAATGCTGTGAGTCGTATGGTGATTGTAGAGCAGAGATTTTAAAGTGGGTTCCGTGGAAAAGTCACCAGAGTTCCGCGAAATTACTTATTAGTGCTGAAGTAATTTCACACTTTGTCACAAATATTATTTTGAATTAGAGCAAAATATGTGATGAGAAGAACTTAGACTGTTATATAGATACGTAGGTAGTTAGCGAGAATTATATTATAATATTTCAATTGCACTGTCTATAATATGTAATCATTTGATGTGGGGTTCATTAAAATAAAAGAGGTTTGATATGTGTTACATTACTTTAAAAGTTTGGGAACTCCTGGTGTAGAGAACCGGAGATCCTTTTTACTGGTAACGCGGGTGGCAACGCATCTGAATTTTGATTCTTAATCGAGGATAGATGTAAATGTCTATGGGAAACAGTATCCACTTAACATCAGGTGGACTGTGTGCTTGTTTGTCACACGTATTCTATAAAATTATAGACTGCTTGCAAATATGTAATTGCTATAAACATTCAATAACGATATGTAATTGTACACTTACTTTTCTTGTTACCCACAACATTGCAAGAAGATTGTGCATATCCAGATCATTTACAAGTACCTGTAGTTCTTCATAAGTTCATGTATTTAGTATCTAAGATTAACTTGTTATTTCTCATGATAAGTGAATTGTATTCTTTTTGAGGAATATATGTCTTAAACTATAAACCATAAAAATAAAAAAAAAAACTTATACCTGCCCAACCTACGATGAACGAATCATACGGTCATAATTATACACAATGAATAGCTTTTTCTATTTAGTTGAGTTGTTCTCGGTTACAATTAAGTATCTGAATCGGAACAGTAACCATTAGTACAAATGACGTTCATGTCATAAGTAAGTGGATCATTCTTTACTGTTATTCGTTAATGGACTTTCGCAGTGAATTTTAAAACGTACTATAATTAGTTTTAATTTAAACGGAAGTTACTTTTGATGAACTAAGTGGTTGGACTTATTTTCTGGTTAGGAACCCGTCACCCTCTTAGCTATATCTTTCACTAAGCAGCAGTGTCACCCTCACCCTAGAATAAAAAGAGCAATGTCGTATATTGGTCTACGACATCTTTGACTTAAATGTAAAAATGTAAAAAGTCTTCACAAAACACGGACGGCTTTTTATTGTTCTTGCATTGTTCAGAGTTAACTACAAACAATAATATGACTCATACCAACAAGAGTCAATGTACTCAATTATATCTTTTATCTCGTAAAAAAATAGTTGAAAAATATGTAATGTTGTCCTCAGTTGTGCCATAAAGGCGATGAGGTATGGTTTATTTACATGAAAAGCCTGCCCTACATGACCTACATCTGTATTACGCATTTGTCTTAATTTCGTAGTCCTTTGGAATGTGAATTTCTTTGGTGAAATTTTTTTGGCTATTTTATGTAAATACGGTACGTTTGGAAATTTTATGATAAATAAAAATATTTGACAGTACTTTAAGGTTATTTGCCAATGTTGTGACGCTTGACAGGCCGGTTGGCAACCGTAATTTTTGTGTTACTTTGGGTTTTTATCAGGAACATGCTATACTGTCTATTTCATGTTCCATTTCGTATCTAATAACACCCGTAGGATGTTAATATTATGGTTTAGTGGATTTCTGTACGCCGCCACTACACGGTGATTTTTATTTATTTATTTATACTTTCATACAAAAAGTACCACATGTGGCGGAACTAATGCCATAGGGCATTCTCTCCCAGTTCAACCATTAGGCAAAACAGAGATAGAAAAGAATGATAAAAGGTGAATTTTATTTTATTTTTCTCTATGCATCATTATTTATCTATATGAAATTATCTATATTCCAACATATGCTATATATAAATACGAAAGTGTGTTTGTTGGTTCCTCACGTAGCAACGGAACAGCGGATCGATATAAAAGCGTAGATAGTTTATGGGCCGGAGTGACATATTAAATTATTATTTTGGAAATATGCACGTTTTCTTTAAGATAGATCTGGAGAATAATCTTATAATTACCTCTTTCTGCGAAAGTTAATAAACGATTTTCTTGAAACGATGACATTTAATGTTTGGTTGTAGCTTGTAGCAACAAAAGTAGTATTCCTACTTCCACGCAGGCGAAAGCCACTTCTAAATGTAACAATTTCTGAAGTATAGAATTCAATTACGCATGAACAACTTAATTATTATTCTTCTTTTGTTTACACGATAAGGGTGACAAACAAGCACAGAGTCCACCTGATGGTAAGTGGTTACTGTGGTCGATAGACATCTACATCTATACTCGATTACGAATCAAAATGCAGATGCGTTGTCACCCGTGAGGACTAAGATGGAATAATAAGAATACCTCTTTTCTAGTAAAAAGGGTCTCCGATTCTCTACACTCACAATACGAAACACAGCAGCGTCCATCTGCTATTTTATGCTGGTATTCTGTGAGAGCGTGGTCCTTTCGCGGTCGAGCTGACTACAACTATACTATATACTAATATAGCTGCAGCGTGGCTCTACCACGTAAAAAATCAGTCTTCTTCATCATCATTAGCTCGTAAAATCCACGGCTGGATATTGTTCTCATCCGTTGTAAGAAGACGCTTGATAAGCAGAATGACGACTGCGGTCGTCAGACGTCTAGCGTTTTTAACGCTGCTGCCTGCCGTCTGGCGTACGAGTAAATGACATGTTACACCGCCATCTATCGAAAGTTATTAGATTTTTGTGGTATTTCAGATACTTATTCCTACTGCTAGTGATGGATCCTTTACGACGCTACCACACAGCTCAACTAAATTATAAGGACTGATAAAGTTTAGTATAAGGATAAGCCAGGTCCTAGATTAGTACATTGCATACATTTTACTATGGAAAAATTAAAGTTATTGTGAAAAACGGAAAATAAGCATAAATAATTTTGTTTCGCGGGAGGAGTCTCAAATAGAAAATTGTAAGTTACGTAAAAAAGGAACACTAATTAGATTTGTTTATAGGCATTTTGTATTTAAATTTTACAGTATTTTATTCAAAAAAACAATCAAACCCTGCCTGATTGACAGATAGTGAAAAATCCATCCATAAATTCTGAACCCAAATTTCACACACTGATGATGAAAAACAGCATAAACGTATATCGCGAGGGTTTTGGTGTCTGCACATACCAACCCGCTTACCCAGCATTGTGAGTGGGGATACATTTTTAAGCAATGTTTACTGACTGAAATTTGTAGAATGTTCTATGACCAATAGCGGGAATAGGCTTACGAGTTACATTATTATCGTCATCAGTTCTGTAATTGATTTATCTATTAAATAAAACTAATTTTACGGATTTTATCGCACTTAATTTTATCTTTTTCAATATTAATAGCCTCGCGAATCATCCTTAGTTGGAATCGGTGTTCTTTTGTGAGGATTAGTGGCCTATCAAATCTGATATTATAGTTGAGATGATCTTCAATATGTTGACATACTGCAGCCTACCCGGAGCGTCGAGACGTCGGTGAATCGGTTAAAATTAAACGTCAGTTTTATTAATTGTGTAGTGCTCTCGTAAATTAAAGAAATTATTATTGACTTATCTATTTCTTTCGCTTATAAAGGTGCCTCACACATATTTTTCTTGTATCGTTAAGGGGATTTATATACATAAATTGCATATTGACAAACATCCAGACTCAGAGGCATTATTTGTAGGGTAAACAAATAGTCTTTCCGTGTGTGATTTGAGCATGTGGCCAAAGCGACGCGTCAAACGCTTAGCCACTATGCTAACGAGCAGTTTTGGGATAGTTTTAATACTAACCCATTTG